TTATAATGCACTTTTAACCTGCGCAACTCTGTTTTTATCTTGGTACGATTGATCCCTGACAATTTATGCTATCACCAGTCCTTTTCCTTTTTAATTTTTCACATAAACTAGATAATGCATTTTCTTTATATCCATTTAGAACTGCCCGGCGCACTCTGGCACATATTTTTGCCCGAAGACACTCCAATACTTCGCCAATTTCTAAATCGCATCGCCCGTGAGCGCAATAGATCCAAGCAGACTCCAACCTCTGCCAACTTGCGCCGTAAATCCGGAAAATTATCGCGACCAACCGATGATCTGGTCTTTGACGGCTGCTCTCGACATCGACGCATCGAGAAGCCTGAGGCGTTAGCCTCAGCCTGCCCATCGTCCTCTCTTCAATTTGGCGTTCCAGCTACATGTGCGATTTCCGGCCCTAATGATGCATATATATCAAGCTATTCCTCAACTCATAGCTCCGCTTCTCATTCTAATCGCCTCAAACACGAAGAATCTCTCAGGCATATTGGTGGCGTCACTCGCAAACATAAGACAAATACTCCTGATTCAGAAAATCTCGAACTCCCCGGTGCTGCTGGTAGCTGCAAGGAGACTCAGATAGTTAAACCGATGCTAAAACAGTATGAAAGCATTTCGGAAGAACGCTCTAGAGTAAAACGACACTTTGCGGTAAAAGAGAGAAAGGCAAGGAGCGCAAAATGGCCAGGTAAGGAGAGAGAAGACAAAAGAAAGAAAAGAAAGGAAGGTGAGCAGGGGCAACGGCACGAGGAAGAGAAAGAGGGGCAATCAGAGATAGAGAAGGCCGGGGAGAAAGAGCAGAATTATAAGGAACGCGAAGAAGATGAGGGAGAGGAGGATCAACTGGGAAGTGATCCAATTCACGATCAACTGTTCTATCTGGACCAAAATTTGCTTGACCGGCTGGCACGGGAGACTGGAGTAGTAGCCTGCACCTTGGTTCAATTCCTTGGCGATGCCATCTTCATACCCGCTGGAGCAGCGCATCAAGTTAGCTTTTCCTTACCTACCACAATCTTCCTTCCTTTTCTTCCCTATTACAATATATTTTCTCTTCTTTCTTTCATTTTCCTTCACTTTCTCCTCTCAGAATTTGCCTTGTTTTTTGTTTTTACTCTGATTATACTCTTCTAAACTAATTTAGGCTTACATGTTTTTATTTATTCATTGTAACTAGACTTTAGAACTATGAATATATCTTGAATAAGAGCTGCATGTGCAAAAGTAGTGATAGAGGAATTTTTCCAGTCAATTATTTCTCACAATGCCTACTCATATCATTGTTGGAAAATTCACTTGTCACTCCTTCGTTACCTTATGGATGACCACAGCTTTGAATGTTTTCATTTTCTAGTCATTTTTTCTACTACTTTGGTTTTTGCATTTGGACTTTTTCAGCCTTTAAATGCTAATATATTTGGTCATTATGGGGTATTATGCTGCGACTTACTTCGTAATTTATTCTATAGAGCACCATAGCGAACGTCTGCACGATTGGTTTAAATATTAGTTTCATCCAATAAAGACGATTGGAGACCATAAAAGATATGGTGCAAGAGAACTATACAAAATATAAGATAGTAA